GTTTTTATACTTTGTTTTAATAATTACTGAGACAATAATAAAAAAATACTATATTAAACAATTATAATTAGATACCTATGTTTTATTAAATTTAACGTTGTGCGGGAAAATAAAAAGTCACAATTTATTCGTGTCACTAATAATATATAATATCATGATAATAATATATTTTTAACTAAAAAATATGATATTCGCCGCCTTGGAAGTCGCCTGCATAAGGTGTTGCAGCACCTCCATTACAATTGTACATTGCGTTGACTTTTCGCAAGTCATTGACCGTGGCTCCGGTTCTCTGTCCCAAACTCATACTTGGTTCATGCTTGGAAAAAAAAAGTAATTTATACTATAACACATTCCACTCGTGATACCATATAAAAGTAAATATTTCATAGTTCAATGACAGCAACAGCACCACCTGCTACTACACAGTAAAAAGTCAAGTATTTCAGTTCGCATATTATTATTATTGATATCCAAGTTATAGGTAATAATATATGTATATAGATACCTATTATTTATCATCGATGAATATGTTATTGTCACATTTGAAAACAGGACTAAAATATTCTATTSGAACTGAATGTAAAAAATAAGTAATTTTTCAATGGTTCGCGAACAAAATCTTTATTAAATTGGTAATATAAAATATAATAAAGTAAAAAAAAAATATTGATTTCAAATATTTAAAAAAAATAATAACAACTAAAAATATTGATGTAAAAATAAGTCTCAAATTTTACTGTAGTATTTTTGAATTTTTGAAACTTTGTGTTTGATGTTAAAATCAAATTAACTCTAAACTTAAATGTAGTTATAGAGGTCGTTTGCCCGTTTGGTATATTTCCCATGAGTAGCAACACAATTATGAGTTTTTTTTTAATTACAGAAATAATCTTTTGTCGCAATTTAGTGAATACATACAACAGTTAGCTATATGCAACAATCCAGTTTAAGTGCTCTACAATTTAATTTTAGAATTAAACATCGCCCTAARGGCTAAGAATAATCCTTTTTTTAACTTCCCCCAATAATAAAAATAAATCGATAAAATCACCGAGTTTATTGAATAATATTGAAACAGAATTTACTTAGTCAATAAAGGCATTTATAATCATTTATTTTAAGGCGATTTAATAAAAGTGTGTACACTATATTAT